AAATGAAATGCTGTTGTTGAAATTCAAAGGTTACTACTACGACTCTTCAAAATAAGAATAAAGAACCACAAAACACACAAACGAGCCCCTCTTGAGTGAGAGCGGTAGGGGTGGACACCATCTGATCAGCAGTCGTATTGACTACTTGGGGTGATGTGGTAGTAGTTGGATGGTTGGAGATCGGTGATGCAGTAGTTGGAATGGTTGGAGGGAGTTGTGGCAGGGTCTGGAAGGTTTGGGAAAGGTTGCAGCAGGTCTGGAATGGGGCTTGGGGAAGTACGATAGATCTGTGAGGGGCTAAAGGGAAGCATGGCAGGCCTGGGCGGGTTAGAGGAGGGTGGCGGGAAGGTGAATGCAAGCGGGGAGATGCGGGTGGACTTGGGCGGCAACAGTAAGAGGGGATCAAGCGGAGATAATCACCACCTTGGACAAGTTAAAGTTGTAGCACCTTTTCGCCGTAGGATATAACCCTATGAAGGGAGAAATGCTCCGAAGGTAGAAATTTGAAATCAGATACAACAAAAATTGTACCTTAAGCAAACAAGCAGCATATATATAATGGATAATAGTAGTTATAATAGGAAGGGGAAAGAATAGGAAGGGGGAGGAATTTGGGCGGTACTTTCTATCACTGAGGTGTTGATTATCTCTGCTTGATCCCCTCTTCCTCCTGTCGGCCAATTCCACCCTCATCTAGCCTGCTTGCAGCCAGCCTCCTCCAACCCATCCAGATCTGCCGTACTTCCCTCTAGCCCTTTCCAGATCTGTCATACATCCCTCCACAACCCCATTCCAACCAGCCGCAACCCTTCACAAACCTTGCAGACCCTGCCACAGCTCCCTCCATCCTTCGAACTACTGCAATTTTGATATTTCAAACACGTTTGCACTGTCCATTTTATGATTGGAGTGGTCATGTCACATGAATTTGATTGTGATCGAGGCATTTTGACCTTTATTTGCATGATGCGACATTCCTCGTGTTGTCTTCATCACATTCAATTGATTTGACTTGTGTAATATATATTGAGGTCAACAAGTACATGCCCAACAAAACTCGTGAGCCCTACGTTAACTCATCCTCAAGCGAACTCACTTGAACTTCCACAACATGAGGAGTTGGCAGCATCATCTACTACACAATCAAGAAGAAGATGCTATAGAGATTACTATTCTAAATATTTCCAACCTTACAGAACTTTTCCCACAATGCTTTCCTTTATCTGTGCCTATAAATGTGGTCAAGGTGTAAAGCATGAAGGATCGTAAATTGGAAATTATTGGCTTCTTTTTATCTTGATTTTTATCCATTCCTTTGTGCCTACTCTATATCCTCTTAGACTCGCCCTGTTTTTTTTTCTGAGGGATTGGATCAACTTCTTTTTGACCACTCAAAGGAATTCCATGAAATCAATCCTCTTTCTTCCATTCTTGCATCTCAGCATGGTTCATTTTCTCAAGTAAGTCTGAGTTATCTTCTACCTACTAATAACTAAAACAATCTAGATTGATTATCACTCTACCAACTTGATTTCTCACATTTAATAATAGTACACCTCAATACAACAACAACAACGACAACAACAAAACCGTAATCCCACTATGTGGGGTCGGCTACATGAATCCTTTATCTCCATTTCGTCCTATTTAATAGTACTCCTTAACATTTTACATAAGTTTCTTTTCTAGAAAGGCATCTTTTTCAATATTCTCATTAATTATTTATCAAATTAGGACTTTCTTAAAATGTCTTCATCTTAATGTGAAATTTAGTATCATCACTTTTAATGCATTTTACTTGTACGAAGTTTTTAGATATGTTATCTTTATTTAGATTTTCTCTTTTGTACGGAAGGTATAAAAATTGTCAAAGCCCGTAGTGTTTTTTTATTTTTGCTATTACCTATGCATGATTTATTATTTCTAATATGTGTGGGGTTTGGCAGGCAAAATAGCACTAATTTTATGACATCTTGAGAAAGCCAAAATTATTGATGAAAACCAAAATGCATATAGGCTCTCTAAACTATTAAATACATTTATTTCAATTTTTTGGTAATGTTGATAGTAGGGTTGCTTCGGACATAATTATTTTGTTTTGAAATAATTTGGAAGATCCCAAATCGATTTTAGTTTCTTCTTTTACTAGTAATATTTTAGTGAGTGCGCCTGTAGTAATTGAATAAATTGCCTTCATTTTGACATATCAGTAGTTGTTTTTTATCATTGAAATAACCACTCTATCATTTGAGGACAGAGAACTATGTAATGTGAAAGGAAAATTGAAAGACGATGGCAACTCTGCTATAAAGAGTGTGGGCCGATTATAGATTTCATGGAGTAGTGCACCCTAGGATTCTTATTTATGTTCTTTATCTATTGGATTATAAAAGATACTGATCCAATAATCCAGGGCTAAATACTTTAGAAAGGAAAGTGTAGATAAATTGAATCAAATCAAGACTACTTGGTTCACTAAATTTAAGGTAGGAACTTGTGAACGATTGGACAAATTGATAAAGCATACATTAGGTTGATAAAATTAAGTTAGATATCAATGTATCTGTATATTATATGAAGTTGAGCTGATTCAAACAAATTTTGAGAACTCGGGGCTAACTTGAAAATGAAATTAAAAAAAAAAAAGAGTGTAGCTTGCATATTGGAACTTGATTCAAATTAAATTTGATATATTTTGATTCGGTCTAATATTCAAGAGTTTTTTTATTTTTGACCATCATTATCTCCCTGAGTTTGATGTTTTGTTAAGCTCGAGCGAGTTTAGCTTTACTCGAAGTAAAAGAAATTTTTTTTGCTCAACTGGAACTCAATTTGAATTAAAAATAAATTCAATTTAAGCCTATCAACTCAAAAATATTATTTTCAAGTTGACTCGAATAATTATTATTTAATTCTATATAATAGCATATACTCTAATATGCTATGCATATATTATATTATATGCACATTTCAAATTATATTTTAAGTCTATTCGTATTATATTCAAGCATGTCTGGCAAACTTGAAATCCATTCAATTTGATTCGGACTACAAGTGATTTTGAATTTCGATTCTTTTTAGCAAACCTATATTTAAATCAATAATATTTCCATGATAAGCACAAAATTCAAATTACATATTTTAGGATTCATAGTATGCTTAAATGTTTGTTATAATTTGCATGGATTCAAGTTAAATTTGATTTAAATTTGAAATAACCCCTTTAAAACTTATAAGGGATGAGATAAAGATGCCAGAAAAATGCATTTGCATTGAGATGTGCGATCGTGCAATAAACAAAAGACTAGACGACTTGTCTTGTTCTTTTGTTGTGCAGTGATTCCAAAGCTAATTTTTTTTTTTTAACGTTTTTTTCTGATATAAAAGTGAATGAGAGAGTGATGCAAAACGTTGTTTTCTGATATAAAAGTGAATGAGAGAGTGATGCAAATAAGGGATGAGATAAAGAGGCCAGAAAAATGCATTTGCATTGAGATGTGCGATCGTGCAATAAGCAAAAGACTAGCCGACTTGTCTTGTTCTTTTGTTGTGCAGTGATTCCAAAGCTAATTTTTTTTTTTTAACGTTTTTTTCTGATATAAAAGTGAATGAGAGAGTGATGCAATGAGTGAGAAAAATAAAATTGAAAGTGATAAAGGTAAAATTAAATGAGAGAGAGAGAGAGAAAATAAGTAGGATAGAGAAGTAGAAAAAAAAAAGATTCTACTCAATTTGTCTATTTGTGCCCATTATAGGCTATCTCGATGCTGTAAAAACACGATGGTGTTGGAAATAACATGATAGTTCCATAGAGATGAATTATGCGGCATTTTTAGTAGCATTTAAGTGGAGAATTTCTAGTATTATTTAAATGTTCTATATCTATTTTGTTTTATATCCATTTTTTTTTTTCTCGTGTTAAGTTTGAGAGGGTTTTTTTTTGGTGGTGAGATTGAGTGTACTTGTTTTTGAAGAAGTATGTTTTCTGGTGCTTCGTTTTGTTCATACATCTTTGTGCCTTCTCTAGGGTGGATACAATCTTTTTGCCTCTCTTGTGAATGAATATAAGGCTAATAGGTTAAACAAAGTACCTGAATTTTTGAATCTTTTTTTGGTTCCATATTTTTTTTGTTTTTTTATATTATTTTGTGCATTAAAGTAATTATTTATGATTGGTGCTGCAATGTAAACAGTTCTTTCTTAACAACCTCATGTAATAGGTGCATATTTTTTCAACAGTTTATGCTTTGCTTCTCTTAGGAGCTCCTCACAATGTGACAAGCATGGCCTTTTATATGTCCATGGTTCTTTAATGCATTTACATGAAACATCAGTGGCCTATCCTGATCCCTTCTTTATTTTCAGTGTGTGTAATGAGTGCTAGCTGTTCTTAATTTGTGATATTAATAGTTTTTTGGGGCATTTACATACATACTACCCCTATGTGTTTACATTCTAACACCTAAACTTAAATTTTTCTTAATTTGTGATATTAATAGTTTTTTGGGGCATTTACATACATACTACCCCTATGTGTTTACATTCTAACACCTAAACTTAAATTTTTCTTAATTTGTGATATTAATAGTTTTTTGGGGCATTTACATACATACTACCCCTATGTGTTTACATTCTAACACCTAAACTTAAATTTTTATATTTATACCACACAAATCTTTCATATCACATCAAAATTACCACTATTTTTACTTCTAAAAAGTGAATCACACATTGTCATGCATAGATAAGATGGCATATGTATAAAAATTGAAATTTGGGGGTTAGATATGTGAATCTTCATAGTTTTTTTCTTTTAACAAGAATTGAAGCTTGAGCTTTCGCACCAATGCACTGGTCTCTTATAAATGAAGCTTGTAAAACTCTGCTGAAC